AAGACAATTTATACTAAGATGGGCTCCAACAATGGTAATTTATGCCGAGGTGAGTTATTACAAATGTGGTTTGTGTTAAGCTACCAAGGTTGATGCTAGTTCATTAATTCTTCCTTTTCATTTTTTTTTTATAATTTTTTACTTTTTCATTTTGGTCATAACTTTTACTTTTTTAAAGATTCCTTAAGACCTCCAAGGCATTTCCCTCTTTTTTTTTTTTTCGTTTCTTAATATAAAGTTATGTTTTCAAAGCTCCATTCATGTCAGTCAGTCATTCACAATTGTCTAGGTTCCCATTTGTTTCATTCTTCATTTTAAGTATGTCTTTCATTTCCTAGCACTTTAATAGTCATGTATTCCTTAAATAATTTTAGTTCTTTATATTTTGTAAAATGAAAAAAACTAGGCCAAGTAATGAATGTTTTTTGTTAGAGTTAAGAGCTAAAGTGGGACTAGATGAGATGGCTAATGCTTCATGGAAAGAAACCTTGGTGATGTCTATAAATGAAAGTGATAAACCAATGCCAAACGGATTTGCTCGTTAGCTTGAACCATTGTCATCTGAAGGTAATTTTTTCTAACCTATTCTTATCTAAGTTCAAGATTGGAAAAAAAAAAGAAAAAGAAAAGCTTTTAAAAGAGATATTGCTAAGGGAAAGGAAATTACATATATAAACAATAGATAAAACAAGAAAAAACTAGAAGCCAACGTAGAACACCTAAAAGGAATAGGTTTTTTCCTTTGTGAAGCAAAAAAAACAAGAAAATATAAGTGAAACCCTCTAAAAAAGGTTAGAATGCGGGAAAGAATAGGTGAAACCCTCTCAAGGAAAGCTTTGAAAACTTCTTAAAGCTAAAATGTAAAATTTTTAGAACATGGTAAAAAAAAAGATGACTTTTCATCTTTCGATGATAAAAAATAATAAAAAATAAAAATTTTCTCTTTCCTTATTAATTGAAACCCATCAACTTTGACATTCTATCTTTAATAGATGAGACTGAATCCTCATAAAACTTAGAAAATTCTATACATATTCAATTGTCACACTACCGGATAATATGCCTTATGAATGTCAATTTTATCCATACCCAATAAGAAATTCAACTTTTTACCTGAATGAGAATGTGGATGAATATTACATTATGAGAATGAGGATGGTGATGATTTTAAATTTTTTATTAGATACGAAAATGGAGACGGGTAATATAACACTCGTCCCATACTCATTCTTTATATATATATATATATTTATATATATTTAGTAAATATATTTTTTATTAAATTACTATTTTAGATTATCTAGAATTAATATATTTCTATTTTAAAAATATATGTTAATATATATTTATAAAAAATTACATAAATTGCAAGATAAAAGTAAAAAATTTTAAAAAATAAGTTTTAGTTTTTATTTTTTAAAAAAGTTACAAATACAAAAATTATTTATACATATTAAATACCTATAATAATAAAAATAAAAATAAATTTAAAATATTCATTGAATATGAATACGAAAATATATATAATATAAAAATTAAAAAATGAGAATAAAAAATACTCTATCCAATATAATACCGGTGACATTCCTAATAAGTCGTGAAAGAATATCATACTAAACCAGCACTAGAAAGCCTTACATCAGCATAATTATAGGTCGTGGAAGCTTATCCTAGAATATAATATGTCAAGCATGCTATTATTTCGGCGTAAATCTGATATGCCGACCAGATAATCCAACCTAAGTAGGTTATTGGTGGAATAACTCAAATACTTTGCTTATAATAAACCCTAACCTACGTTGAAGTCACATCACCTATTATGAACTATCATACTAGCTGATAGGGGTAGATATTTTAGATTTTAGGGGCAAAACAATCTTTTTACCAATTTGAAATATATAGGATCTTAGGGACATTTTGATATTTTGATAGATTTGGGCATTTTAATCTTTAGGTCAACTTGACGTGACAAAATAGTAACAAGGAAAGTACGTGACTAAGATTCTCAGACCCACACCTGCAACTACCATCGTGGACAACCACCTCATTTCACGTTCATTTTACATGACCCTACTAACATGTCATCTGGTCATTGGTGAAATCCCCTAAAAATCCTAACTCTTGATCTTTCTCTTGTTGAGATTGAAATTGAAAAAAAAAAAAAAGAAAAAGAATGAAAACTCTGTCAAGAAGAAAGAAAAGAAGAAATTAAATCGAAAACTTCAAAAAGAAAATAGTGAATGTTATTCATCTTTGCGAAGGAAAAATATGACCAGAGGTCAATTAACAAGGAAGTCCAAAAAAATATTTCAAGTGACTCACAAAAACATTGCTTTTTTAGAATGACTGTTTGTCTATTTCTCTCATGCTCTTACTTTTTAATAAAGAAACTTTAACCCTTATGCACTTTATGCCTTTGAATTTCAAGACGAAAGTGATACCTTTTGTCTTTGTATGGATTTAGGCTTTGTTTTGTGTATTCTTTTGTTGCATGAAGTGGTTCATACCCAAAAAGAAAAAAAAGTGATCCAACATTTTCATTTCATTTGTCATTAAATTTTAATAAGAGTTAGTTACATATTTGAACTTTAAGAAAATATATAAATTGATATTTAAAAATTAACGATTAAAGAATTAAAAAAATTCTTAAATTATAATTAAAAATCATTCAAACTCTTTTTTTATTGTAAAAAATTAATCATTCCAATTTCTATTTGCATGCAATTAAATTTTTATTTAGATAGAAAATTAACGATGTTAATTTTTTGTCAACTCAATAAAATTTTATATAACATCAATAAAATATATTAAAATTTATTATGTGACATAATTAATACATGTAAAAATTAAATAAAATAAACTTTTTCCTTATTTTCTCTATTTTCTCTATCCTTTCTCTCTTTAAGATCATTCTAAAAGTTCAATTAATTATAGTCCAAGTGTTGATTGATAAATTTTGCCAATGCGACTAAATTCTTTCTATTTAGAATGTTCAATTGAGTCGAAATACAATATTAAGAGCTTAATTGATTACAATAAAATATTAAATATTTAAATTATTATTGAATTATAATTTAGGGACATTTTTAACCCTTAAAACAAAAATAAAATGTACAATTTTGCACTCTAAACTTTCAAATAATATACAATTTACATTATAAACATTTAAATTATATATCATATTAGTTCAAACTCTAATTTTACTACCCGTATCAACTTATATATGTGGCATTTGATAAATATTATCAAGTTATGAGTTTACCACATATAGTATCAACATCATTTGTTAATATAAATTAAAAAATATTTATTTAATTTACCTAAATCATAAAAATATTTGGGGTCAATTAATCATTTTTTGTCATGTGACATGCATATGAAGGTTTCTACGATATATTTACACTTTTATTCAACAAATAACATCCATATAATAAAATTATACTAGTTAGATACTATATGGTGAATTAAATTAATAATATTAGAATTTAAATTAAAATGATAATTATTTGAAAGTTCAAGATGTAAATTGTACATTTTATATTTTTTTAAGTATCAATTTATACATTTTTCTCAAAATTCAAGTGCCAAAAATGTAATTAACTCATTTAATAATTAAGTTAATAAATGAATAATAATAAATTTGTTATATCGTCGTTTTAACCTAAAATTTTCTTTCAATCAATTCTATTTTATTATTTCATTTATTTACGTATTCTATTATATATGTGCAAAATGGATGGTGGCTTTGATATAATTTATTTATTAAGAATATTTCGTGGTGAGAGATTTGTGAACCTGAATCACAATGAATTAAGTTATGTAGATGGTTAAAAAGGTCAGATATGAATGTCAACATGATAAAATATTATATTCTTTGTTCTTAAAAATTATAGACAAAAGGGTATAAAAAATTTGTGAATTATAATTAAAAAATTATTCAAATTCTTTTTTTTTATTGCAATCAATCAACATTTCTAATATTTATTTGCATCAAATTAAATCATTATTTGAATGAAAAAATTAACATCGTTAATTATTTTGCTAATTAAGATAAAATTTCTTATGACATTAATAAAATAAATGAAAGTTTATCACTTGACATAGTTAATATATGTGACAATTAAATAAAATAAACTTTTTTCTCTCTATTTTTCTTTTTCTCTCTCTAAGATTCCTTTAAATGTTTAATTAACTGTAATATAGAGATTAATTTAATTTTTTCATATTATTAAATTTTGCTCAATTGAGAGTTTAACTGAGTGAAAATCGAAAATTAACGGCTTGATTGATTAATGACAATAAAATATTAAAAACTTAAATAATTATTAAATTATAATTTCAGAGCATTTTGATTCTCTAACCAAAATTATAGGAGAAATAAGTTATTCCCAACAGGCATTTATTTATTCTAGGATTCTTGAAGATAAGTTAGGTAAAAGTTTTTGTTTTTGCGTAATGAAACTACCACTAAGAAACTAAAAAGATATTTATTTGAGTATTAAAGAATGGATTACAAATTTCAAAAAAAAAAAAAAAAAAACCAAGTTGATGTTCCTAATGTCCTAGAGAAACATTCATCATTTACCGCCTGCTGCTCGTTATACTGAAGCGGTAAATGTGAGGAGCCAAACCAGCTGAAGGAGCCATAATGTGTGGAATATATGGTCCCTATCCTAATTGCAGGTCACATTGACAGCCATTACCTTTACTAATTGTATTTTGCAACCCCAGAGGAAGGTGCGTAACTTTGCCAGAATTCAACTTTTTACTTATGCTTATGGGACCGAACCAAAATCAAATTATTTGAACTTACGTCAAACTCAAAGTTCAGCCTTTCTAAGGGACCTTTACACTCTTAAACTGAAGTTTCCTAATGCAAAAAAATACTATAATAGTGTAACACTCTCATCCCCCGGAGGGCACATTGCATCTGCAGAATTCTAGATTTATTTCGACGCTAGGTATTGGAAGTGCCAATAATCTTTGGATACAGGCTGCAACCATTTTATAGCACTTTTAAGATTCTCATGGATCTCCTTTAGATTAGCCAAATACCATGGTCAGTATCGATTTTGGAAAAGCATGCCGTTGCCACAACAAGTCGATAATTTATCAAGGGAATCATCTTTAATAGAAAGATTAACAAGCACAATTTAGCTAAAATTACACTGCCGCCTAGCATTATTTCACCTAGATCCTACAATCCACCGATGTAAGCATCCTACATGTGCCACTCAGTGCTTCTTGGCATGCCGTTGGCAAAAGGCTTTTATCCTCGCCAGGCCTTCTTCGAGAGAAGAAGGCTCTACGGCAAAAGTAATGCGGAGCCAGTTCTTCAATCCCACTGCTATCCCTGCAAGTTTTCTTGCCTGTTAGTTTCATGATGTAAATCACCATGCAACCATTAGCATTCACAAGAACATAGGAAATTCCTTCATAAGTATTAATGCATGATTCACCTAACTGAAAGATTACTACTTTCTGGAGCAGGTGCAACAGTGAGATTTGGAAAGCATCAAATTCCAAATCTAATGATGTGAACATAAAGAATAACATTTGCCAACAAACATACTCATTGAAGACAAAAAAGGCACCGGAGACTAATGGTCCATCAAGCAGCTGTAGCAGAGAAGAAGGTGCAGAAGCAAAAGGGAAATTGTGCAGAAGGCATCAAATTTCAAAATCTAACAAAGTAAAATAAAATTTTCGAATGAACAAAGACTAACATTACATTAGAGATTAGTGTCATTACTGCACGGCTGCAATACTAATTAGCCAGTCTGTATTTCATATTTTCATTTTATAGTCATTGGAATATGCATGGATCTTGGAGAGAAAGGCAAATTAAATCTGCAATTTCTCATAGATAAGCATCCACACTCACAAATTGATAACTGAGTGAGTCTAGGCCACAAGAAGGCAGGTTAGCATAAATAGAATTTCAAGTCTGAATGAATAATATATAACCTTCTTTAATCTATCATTTGCCAGTCCCAGAATAGTCCATGAAACACCAATCATAACCAAGCTACTAAAACCTAAATACATAATATATAGTATAAACTATGTACTGAATAGAGTATATAATTCCTGCTCATTATTATGTGTACTTCTTTGATTAACTAAACCTGAAGACTCATTTTGCTTTTCTTTTCTTTTTTTTTTTTTTGTCATAGGAGGCAAGGAGGTTCACAAAAGTCTTTTTAATGAACTCCAGAAGTCAGTTCAACTAATTCACAAAACTTAAACAAATTTCACATCTTACCAGGTAGAACAATGACTGATTCTTCTTTAGCTAACTTCAGGCAGAACTCCATATCATCATTAATGTCTTCCAGCATTGATAGATTCAGCTTCACCTGGAATAAAATCTGATAACTAAGAATGCTCTTTCAATTTCACTCGCTTAGATCATAACAGTTAATTCCCTTACCATTACAGACATCGACCCTTCTGGTTTCTTGGGGCAAGTTATGCAGGGCATCTCCTCAACTCTAGTATAGCATATATCTGCAGCTTCTCTTAGCATGCAGATAATCTTCGAAAAAAAATCCTCCTTTGTATTTTCAAGAATTTGAGGAACTGCTGCCTGATTCCCAAAGTCATTTTACAATCTTCAACAAGAGGTTGGGGGAAAAAGACAAGAGATACCTAGGATGCTTAATGTTTCAAAGTGGAACTAAACAATTAACAGACTAATTTGAAAAATTATACTATAAAATATGAAAATGGTCATTGGCAGATGACTATATGCTTTTAGCGTTTTACTTGCCATTTTTTTTATGTTAGGAGTCCATTATAATGTAAATTGTAAAGCAATCATGTTTTACTACTTTTCGAGAAGCATTGCCTTTCAAAAAAAGCATACACAACATGAACAAATAGAAGAACTAATTATTAACTAAATTTTGATTAATTTACTAATAAAATGCCTGCAAGCATTCCATTATACTAATACTTCAAAGTTGCAAATTAGGTGCATTTGGTGTTTCTTATGAGCTTATTAGAAAAGACATTCTTATTTAAAAAAAAAAAAAAAAAGGCTCCCTTGCCCACTTTGATTGCATAAGAAATGCAAATACCCCTTTAAGCTGCTACTTGTATGCTACTGGCTTGTGAAAAAACATTGCATTCTTTCAGTGTAAATATGTCCAGGCTTTAAACAACAGTATCTTGAATCACCAACCTGAATAAATGTAGCTGGATCGGAGGAGATATTGAGGAATCCCTTAATCGACTCGATTATCTGACAACAAGACATCATTGGAACAACATGCTTGGACTGTTATTTGTCTGAAATATGCAAATAGCTTACGAAACCAAAATCATATATACAACTTAAAAAATGTACTAGTATCTTAAACCAGAGAAAGAGAAACTATTTAAAGGCCAACCCCAGTTTTTTGAAGAATGCCATTTGGATCACTTGTCACAAGCCAACCAAGGCGCCAACCAGGAACAATCCACCTCTTTGATATCGATCCAAGGGTAAGAACAGGCACAATTGACCCAAACGCTCGCATTGGCACATATGGAGTGCTTCCAAATGTGAGATTGTCATAAGCTTCATCACCAATCACCAGAATCCCCAGCTTTCTAGCTGTCTCAGCAACCTAGCTTTAGAAAAACCAGTTACTAATATTGCTTTTGAAAAGGTTAACAAATTGTGCTGAAATCAAAATTCATACTGCCAAGTAAATACAAGCACTAGCTTCTTGTCATTGTCTATCATGTCACAAGTCATTATATATGCTCTAAAGATACAAAGGTCCAACGGCCGCCAAATCCAAAAGCATGAGCATTCTACATCATCCCTCAAGAGTGGTTTAACAAACCTTTGTTAAATGTTGATAGCTGAAGACATTTCCACAAGGATTTCCCGGGTTTATAATAACCATAGCAACCGTATTCTCATCTGCAAGATCCTCAACGGCATTTAAATCAACTTCCCAATCCTTTTGAGGGAGAAGGTCAAAATGACGGAATTCAAGACCATTATAGGCAGCACAAGCTTCATAGTATGGGTAGCCTGGTCTGGGAAGCAAAATGTTGGCACCAGGGCGGGCAAGGACTGCTAATGCAATTTCTATTGCTTGAGTACATCCAATTGTAAGGTAAACATCATCTGGTGATAATTTGTATGGAAGATCACGGTTGAGATAATCTGCAATAGCCCTGTTAGAGTTTAAATTAGATAATTTACAATAATCTTTGGCTATTCTTTATGTGAAATCTAATCTTAGTCTACAACAATCTAACCTCCTAGCCGGAAGAACACCAACAGTGGGTGCATAACAGTTATATTTAGCCGATCGTAGAGAATCAATGATGGCATCTTGAGCTGCAGTAGCGGTCCTGAAGCTTGGAAAATGTGAGGGGTCGCCATGACCAAGAGGAATGACTGGCCTGCTATCTTCCTTATTGAGGCCTTCCATTAACGTGTTAAGAACTCCTCGGACGGTGGTGGCTGAGGCTGCCTTCAGCTCCTGCTTACCTTCAAAACCCCATTTCTTTGATCCCTTCTCCATCGTTGTCTTCTTATTATCCACCTGTCTAGCGACGGAGGTCATGGTTGAGTAGCGGTGCTTCGGGGCATTGAGCGCCCCAAACAGCCAAATTTTCATCTCAGCTAAGGACAAGTGTGTCAAGTGCCACTGTGCCAAGGCCGTATGAGAGAAGAAGCTAATGCGACTGCAATTGCAAAGGAAAAATTATGTGTTATAGTGATATAGTCGAAGATAATTTTGAAATTCTTACTACTAACCCAATAGTCAAGGATGAACCACCTTCATCCGATGACACCACATTTGATGAAGAAGAAAGTTCTGAAGATCAACCGAATCCAAAACCAACAACAATTCCAACTCCTCAAACAGAGGCGCGTGGGAAGAGAAAAGCCGAAGCAATATCTAACCCAGATATTGATGATTTAAGGTGATTTCTAGATTTATTAGATCCTGATATAGTGGATCAACATCTTCCTCATCTTAAGGAAAAATATTCTCACCTAAACAAGGATGAGATCAAATATGAGATTAAACAAACTTCTGATTCTAGCCAAACAAATCAGGCTCAGACTGAAATCCCTATAATCGATTCGTTAAACAAACGAACAGTTTCTCAATGAGGTACTTATTTAGACTTAACCAAAGTCCCTCTTCAACATTATGGAAAAACCATAGATGATTAGGCACAATCTATATCTATTGTTGTCACAAATTATAAAGAAACATGGGGCAAAGAAAGATTCCTCAACTATTTTTATGGCACATGACAAGGTGATGTCCTTCAATTTCTCAAAAAATGGGAAAAGACGACCTTCGGAGAACAGCATAAATCCTTTCTGTTAGCCGTAGGAAATATTTTTGCGCGTTGGCCTTGAGGGCAGTTTATGAGGCTTCCGATGTGACGAGGCACAGCAATTTCATTTTCTTCCGTGTGCAAAAGGGTTGACGAAAAGGGTTGTCTAATTCGAATTGAAAAAATTAATAATTTAATTAATTTAATTAAATAATAATAATTTAATTGATTAAAGTATTTTTATTAATTAATCATAATTAAATCGATTTATTTTCAATCAATTCAATAATTAACTGACTTTTCATAACCAAAATAAAACTTTTACTTTATAATTAAAAAAATTTTTAAAAATCACATATCTTTTTATCATTTTTTTATCATATTTTATTATATATGAAAACTAAAAGGCTATACAATGAATTTATATTATACCCATAAATTATAATATATAATTTAGCTTGAAAGTGTCAATCATAGACAATTATCTTAAATCAATCCAAAAAAAATATTAACCTATAAGCAATATCTAATGAAATAAAATGCATATTTCTTCCTTTTCAACAAGCTTTTTTTGTTTTTATCTATCATCATCAAAACCATTATACTTGACTAAACTTGACAATTTGAAATATGATACAAAAACAATATGAATAAAGAATATGAAGATAACACAACTTAAAATTTTATAAAAACCATAAATAGGTTTAATAAATCAAAACATTGTATTTTATATTTTTGTATCGATACGAACTGTGACATGAGATTTTAATGTAAAATACGATATGAATACAATATTTTACCTGATACAGTGACACGAATTGCCATGTCTGCTTTAGACAAGGCCTATAATGATGATCTTCCTCACCTATTTTCTAAGCTTGGACCCTTTATTCAAAAATGCTACTTTTCGAAACCTGATCTTTAGTAGAAGACAAAAGTGCAAGTGCAAAATAATGGTGGAAGTTAAGACTTAGGGATTTTAGAAATAGGATGAAAGAGAGAATTGGGAATTTTAAATTTAAAGATTAAGGTTATTGCTTTTAGTGATTAGTATGAAATTACAACTATGCCATTAGATAAAAATCTATTAAAATGAGTTGGTTAATTTAGTCAATTCGATTATCAATTTTGGAAATCGATAACCGACCAACTTAATCAATATAACCAATAAAAAAATGAATAAAATCAAAATCAATTAAACCAAACCAAATTAACCAAATATAGTCAATTTCATTCTATTAAATCAGTTTCAATCGATTTGTGTTCACCACTATGAGTACATCGGTTAATGTAATAAAAAAACAAATGCTAGTATTGCCAAAATCTATACAAACAACTAATAAAAGAGCTTCATAAGAGAAAAAAAACTTTTAATCGTTGTAACAATGAAAGCATCATAAGAGAGCTTATAAACTAAATGACTATTTTGTAGTATTTATTAATGTAAATTACGTAATATCAGCAATATCAATGTAATTATGTTGTTTAACATAATATTAATTAGAATTTATGATAATTATATTAGAACAATATCTAGAATTATGATATAAGTATGATATGTATGTGATCTTTTCTTACTTATTATGATATTATATGTAATTCTTGTCTTAATTAGTGAAAATTTTCTGTATTTAAAAATGATAACTTTGTATAATTTTTTTTCAAGTTAATGAATATAGAATTAATTCTCTTTTAACATGTTGTTAGAGCATAGGTTTTGTTTTATTATTCTTACTTGTTACTACTACTAGTTATACCTTCCATGTTTGTCAAGTGGTAGGTTTTTGTCTCTACCTACTTGTGATGAAACCTTGTTAAAGTGATGTTATCCTACATATGTTCAATATTGAATTTCTTGTGGTTTTATATTCATGCTAAGTCATTCAATCTATAATCAATTGATTTTATGTTGGATGCTTAACATTGTGCTATAAGCATGAATGATATGATTTAATTTACTATTACTTAGTTAGGTTTTGCTTCAAATCCTTATGACCAAGCATTATTTGTTCGGCATACTAATTAACACATATTGTTGTTGTTATTCTATATGTGAATGATATGATTATCACAATGATGATCAATCTTGCATTATTGAATTAAAATAGCTTTTCATCAACAATTCAAAATATAAAATCTTGGTTCTCTTAATTATTTCTTAAGGTTTGGAGTATTTTCTAACTCTAATGGTTAATATCTTTCCCAAGCCAAGAATGCATTTCATTTACTTTCTTGGATTATTTTATTAATAGTAAAACTTTCTCTATTCCTTTAGAGTTTAATGCTAAGCTTACTCCAATGGATGGTACTTTACTTCGTGATCCTACTTTATATCACCAAATTGTTGATAGTACAATTTACCACATAATAACTCAACCTGATGTTGCTTATGTTGTTTATCTAGTTAGTCAATTTATTGTTGCTCCCTATTCAACTCATTTCTCAGCTATTTTTCGGATTCTTTCTTTTGTTAAAGGCAAATTATTTTGTAGATTATAATTTTCAGTTCTCATTTCTTTAATTTTATCTAGGTAGTTTAATATTGACTAGGCAAGAGATCCTATAGATCATTATTCCACCATTGTTTATTTTTTCTTTTTAAGAGATTCTCTCTTTTTTAGGTGAAGTAAGAAACAAACTATAGCACTTCAAATTTACTTTGGTTTTGATGTTTAATAAAAAATATGGGCATAGCACCATCCTCCACCATCAAACTTTACTATGATAATCGTAGTACCATTTAGATTGCTCATGATGATTTCTTTCATGAGTGCACCAAGTATATTAAGATTTATTATCATTTTTGTACACCATCATCTAGCACGATAGACTATTCTTTTGACTTTTGTGTTTTTTACAAATCAAACTACTAATTATTAAGATAATTTTTTGCTTATTATCAATATATAGTTAACAAACTCAAGCTAACATCTTCACTGCCACTTTGAGTATGATGAAGGTGTTTATGTAAATTAATATAATTATTAATACTGACTAGGCAATAGATCCTATAGATCATTCTTCCACCATTGGTTATTTTTTCTTTTTAGGAGATTCTCTCTTTTTTAGGTGAAGTAAGAAACAAACTATAGTTGATCAATTTAACACTGAATCAAAATATTGTGTTTTTGCTAATATCACTTCAAATTTACTTTGGTTTTGATGTTTAATAAAAAATATGGGCATAGCACCATCCTCCACCATCAAACTTTACTATGATAATCGTAGTACCATTTAGATCATGATGATTTCTTTCATGAGTGCACCAAGTATATTAAGATTGATTATCATTTTTGTACACCATCATCTAGCACAATGGACTATTCTTTTGACTTTTGTGTCTTTTACAAATCAAACTATTAGTTATTAAGAAATTTTTTTGCTTATTATCAATACATAGTTAACAAACTCAAGCTAACATCTTCAATGCCACTTTGAGTATGATGGAGGTGTTTATGTAAATTAATATAATTATTAATACTGACTAGGCAAAAGATCCTATAGATCATTATTCCACCATTGGTTATTCTTTCTTTTTAGGAGATTCTCTTTTTTTTAGGTGAAGTAAGAAACAAACTATAGTTGATCAATCTAACACTGAATCAAAATATTGTGTTTTTGCTAATATTACTTCAAATTTACTTTGGTTTTGATGTTTAATAAAAAAATATGAGCATAGCACCATCCTCCACCATCAAACTTTACTATGATAATCGTAATACCATTTAGATTGCTCATGATGATTTCTTTCATGAGTGCACCAAGTATATTAAAATTGATTATCATTTTTGTACACCATCATCTAGCACGATGGACTATTCTTTTGACTTTTGTGTCTTTTACAAATCAAACTACTAATTATTAAGATAATTTTTTGCTTATTATCAATACATAGTTAACAAACTCAAGCTAACATCTTCAATGCCACTTTGAGTATGATGAAGGTGTTTATGTAAATTAATATAATTATTAATACTGACTAGGCAATAGATCCTATAGATCACTATTCCACCATTGGTTATTCTTTCTTTTTAGAAAATTCTCTCTTTTTTAGGTGAAGTAAGAAACAAACTATTGTTGATCAATCTAACACTGAATCAAAATATTGTGTTTTTGCTAATATCACTTCAATTTTACTTTGGTTTTGATGTTTAATAAAAAATATGAGCATAGCACCATCATCCACCATCAAACCTTACTATGATAATCGTAGTACCATTTAGATTGCTCATGATGATTTCTTTCATGAGTGCACCAAGTATATTAAGATTGATTATCATTTTTGTACACCATCATCTAGCACGATGGACTATTCTTTTGACTTTTGTGTCTTTTACAAATCAAACTACTAATTATTAAGATAATTTTTTGCTTATTATCAATACATAGTTAACAAACTCAAGCTAACATCTTCAACGTCACTTTGAGTATGACGGAGGTGTTTATGTAAATTAATATAATTATTAATGCTGACTAGGCAAGAGATCCTATAGATCATTATTCCACCATTGGTTATTCTTTCTTTTTAGGAGATTCTCTCTTTTTTAGGTGAAGTAAGAAACAAACTATAGTTGATCAATCTAACACTGAATCAAAATATTGTGTTTTTGCTAATATCACTTCAAATTTACTTTGG